GACAGTATTTCAATTTAAATATTTGTTATTTTAAAATGAAAAATAATCGCCACTGTTTTTTTTGTTTTTTAATACCCGATTCTAAAAGGAAAATGAAATGACCAAAAGATACACAGACCCACTTTAAAGTTTACTGTTCAAGAATCAGAATTGCTCAGACTGTTATGAATATCGAGATGTAAGCTCAAACATAAAAACAAAATGTATAAAAAAAAATATGTTGCTGTGGTAAATGCTTTTGGAAACACAATGAAGCTAAAGCCACAAGTCTACCAATGCTTCATTTCAAATTTCAGGACATTATCTCTAAAACTGAATTTTATGAAACATTTTCTAAAACCATGTCATGTCTGTTTTTAGAGAAGGCTAATAAGAGGCTAATAAAATTGGCTATGTTTACATGCACAATTTTTGGTTCAATCGGACTGAATTAATTCTGATTGATGAATCTGAATGTAGTGTTTACATGAACGCTAAATAAAGTGATCGGGTTGATGTGGGCGTTCATATATCACAAGCTTCAAATCGGAATTGATTTTTTTTTTGACATTCGCACACTGCACAAATATAGAATTTCTCACTGTTTGCACATAATAACCACTCTCCTACATGGTTTCTTTATTTGTTTTTAACAGCAGAATTAATATTTATCCATTTATGGATAAATATACATAGAAACCGCTGTGCCGTGCTGCTCATATTTATCCCAAAACGGGTTGCCTGTGGATGAGAATCCAAAACAAGGACTGGTGGGAGGTTGTCCTGCTCCACTTCACAGTTGCCGAGTGAAAGGAGAGTTTTATACTGACAGGACACGCATTTATACAACACTTTATTCAAAAGGAAGAACCGCTCGTTCCGCGCGTTTTACGTCATTACGCTTATTTCTCCATCCTTGCACATGCGCAGTCCTTTCACTTTCGGGGTTCAATCCGATCGAGTGTTTACATGCGCTCTCAATCGTATTAGAAAAGGAATAAACCACCCCCTTCAATCCGATCGAAATGTAATTTCCATTGAGTTCAGTCGGATCGATTAAGGTGCTTACATGAAGGCTTTTCAGTCCGATTGAGCCGTCAATCCCATTACAAATGGATTATTTGGTTGCATGTAAACATAGCCATTGATTTATGGCCCCCTGTAAGCTCTCCTGCATGCTGTTACCTCATGTCTGGCGTGGCGAACTGCCCCATTCATGATTCTATTGTTCTCACTCAATGAGCATTTGCGTCGTCAGTCATGTATAGACTGAGTTGAGACCTGTCAAGAAATTCATAAGACAAATAACCACTTGTGTTTATTTCCAAACCTTTCTCAATTCATATTTTTCAGTGACTACTGAAAGTAGTCTGGAACACCTTCATGGTGTTCCACCGCCATGGCCCCCTGAACTACTTGCACCGCCGTGGCCCCCAGAATGGCCAGCACCGCCCTGGAGGCTTCACGTCTTGTGTAGCTGCTCCTAACCAGCTTTCCACTTCAATCCCAGTATACATTTACCCAACTATTATCAAAAGTATTTCTAATTAAATACAACAAAACATGGCAACAGTAACTAAGGAGGGCGGGTCTTTGCGAACGGTCAATTGAGTGTGTAACGGCCACCTGTGGATAGATATTGTTCCTTTAACTTTAATGTTTTATGCAAGCGGCACCTCCCGCTCTCTCTCGTGAAGCCAACACGGAAGTGACTAAAACTGTAATTCATCGACTGGCCGCTAGAGGCTGGCTGCAAAAGAGAGTCAATCCC